GTCAAGTGAGAGTCTATGCTTGTTACTCTTGGTGGTCGCCATCACCTAGACGGCTTGGTGGTGATTGGGAGTTCGGTGATCATCCAATGGAGCTTGTGGATGACCCAACTCAAGTTGTGAGCGGTTGTGGGCGATTCACCGCGATGGAGTATCGAAGAATCAGCTCATAGAGAGCACTTGATCCTTGCGTGGATCAAGGGGAGCTACACCCTTGCGCGGGTGCTCCAACGAGGACTAGTGGGGAGTGGCGACTCTCTGATACCTCGGCAAAACATCACCGCGTTCCTTTCCCGCTCTTTACTTTAAGCATTTACATTTGAGCAATTCATTTCTTGTCTTTACATTCCTAGAATTGCCATGCTAGAGTAGGATTGGAACTTAGGGTGCAAAACTTTTATGCGGTATATCAATAGAATCACATTCTAGGCACAAGGGGTGAAGTGGGCTAAGTGTAGGACTTAATTATTGCAAAAAATTTAGAATTAGCCCAATTCACTCCCCCCTCTTGGGCATCTTGATCCTTTCAAGGACCTTGTGTACGAAGTCATGCTGCGTGACAAGGGCGGACTTGGCACTGGTCCAAGCGATATAACTATGGAGTGTCAGTTATGGCCAGAGGTTACCTTGTGTACATCGCACCTAGAGAAGCTTACCTTGTGTACGTCGTTGCGTTCGACCAGCTCACACCTGACAGGGTTCGGTGGACCCCATACACTACATGCTACATAGCCTTTGTAGTGAGTTGTCACTTCATCATTATTTAGCCTTTTAAGTGAGTATGAACATCAACACTGCATGCTATGTACACTGCATACTACACAGCCTTTTCAGTGAGTTGTAACATCGAGCTACATAGCCCACGTCTCTGGCATTTGCTATATATCGACGGGTCAAAGTTGTTTGTGCCCACCGAGCGCAAAACTAAACATACAGCCACTTAACCGAGACAGTCCATACCAATGTCGGGTGCGTAAGGGAAGGGAAAGGGAACTGATCCCATGGTTTGGCTAGGATCTTATGGTTCAGATTGGTACCTAGATCCACTAGAAAACTTCCCATTGCAAGGTAAGAAGGATTTCCGTCCACCTAGTAGGTTGCGGCCATATGATAATAGGAAAGAAGAGTGGCCAAAATGCTGCCATGGTGACAACTGCGTAGTCCAAGTATACAGCAATGGTGGCCTTCATGGAGGGCGTCGGTTCTTAAGATGCCCTCGCGGATGGGTAAGTCTTACTACGCATTTTATCGTACTACTCATCTTCATTACATACTAACAAGACTGCGTATTCTATAGAACTTCGAAGACGAGGACAACTATAGTTTCACTAGGTGGGTTGATCCACCTGCCATTTACCCATACGAAGAATTCATCCACCACCTACAGAACCACATATTTAACCTCGAAAGAGAGGTTGAAAGCATGTCTGCAACCAAAGAACAAAACACTCAAGAATAAGGACAAGATGTTCCGATGCAAGACAAGCCAGTGTGCAATGATCCACATTGCAAGTGCCCCTGCCATGGAAACATGGGGCCTCCTCCACCTCCTCCGCCTCCTCCTGCATGTGGTGGAAATTGGTACTATGGACAAGGCTCTTCATAGTGGTACTCGCAGTAATCGGATGCAAGAGTGATTAGGACCTAAGTTGTGTTGGCTACAGTTTAATTACAACTGTGTCGCATGCTTTCAATCCATAGTCTGTATTTTGTGTGTTTGTAATTCCTCCAGTGTACCTTGTTTCAATCCGTAGTCTGTAATTTTTAATTTCGGCAATGTACCTTGTTCTTTCAATCCGTAATCTGAGAAGACTATGTTGTATCACATCATATGTTCCCGCGCACTCTCCCTCTATCCCATTCTCTCTCTCGCATGCGCGTCTGCACGGTCCCCTCTTTATTCTGCAACCAACCAAAGCATGCAAGGCGACACGTTGTCCTCTTTTCCTGCACCCGACCAAAGCATGCAACCCAGCACGCTCTCCTCTTTTTCCTGCACCCGACAAAAGCATGCAAGCCGACACTTTCTCAACATGGACCAACGTGGACTAAGTCCACTGAACCATACAAACCGGCACTATAAAAGGTCTCCTATGTGTTCACCACACCACATCTCCTCTACCTCCCCTCCCCATTCAACTTCAAAACAATGGCGTCTTGGAGGACCGACCCAACTCAACTCCCGCAGTGGGTTGAACGCCCAAAGTGCCGCTACGGGTTTCGGACAATCTTGCGCGTGTGCATGGATCAGGACCGTCACTACGGCCGTAGGTACTTTGCGTGCCCAGATCTGGATGATGACTTCATGGTAAGATCGTGAACTAAATCTTTTATTTGTGGTTACCTTTTCTCAAATTGATCAATGACATCTACCACCATACACGTAGCCTTACAAGTTGATAGAATAGGTGGATCAGGAGCTGCCCGCATGGCCAGGAACGGTCCCAAAGGAAGTCGAAACCAAAGGCCAATACCTTGTGAAGATGACTCAGGCTCGCGAGGCGGAACGACAGACGAGGGAGCAAATCCGTCTGAAGGCTAAGGAGGATGAGATGGCTAAGAGGAGGGAGCAGTTAAATCTGCGTGAAGCAGCCATCAAGCGTAAGGAGCAAGAGCTTAAATTACGTGAGGCAGCTCTCAACAACAAGAATGATGCAACGGAACCATCTTCAGGGCGCAACATAAAGGGAAAACAACCACGCTAGCCCAGTAGAACAATGTAATAGACCTAGCAAGTTAAATTCCCTAAGGCGTGTTACAAGTAGCGGTAGACCTCTGAACATTACAAGTACAGAGTTCCACACATGCCATTGCAAGGCGTGCTTTGTTTCATTTCCCTAGGCCTTTGCAAGACTACTTAGTATTGCAAATTTGGTCCATGTACCGCGCTGGGTTAATATTATAATGTGTTTGTTCCATCAAAAGTTTGAAAGGTTCGTTAATTTATGAAATGTGATGAATGTTAGCGTTGGTCGAAAAGTGGTATAGCTTTTATGCCTGGTGATGGTTGTGTTCGAAAAATACACCGGGTGGTTCAATAGCATGAAATAGTGCTGGGGACAAGCCTGTCGGCCTCTGGGTTGCCGACAGGGCCTATCGGCCAACTACCAGCCGACAGTGGCCGTCCGCCAGCCACTAGCCTACAGGGACTGTCGGCCCCACCAAAGGCCGACAGGGTGCCTATCGGCGCCAACAGGTCGAAGTCGGCTACCACGTCGACCTAATCGGCTGCTGAGTTGCCTATATGGGACAGGGTTCCTATCGGCCTTTCAGGAGCCGACAGGTTCCTAAATTTGCAATTAACCTATATCAACTTCTAGTTTTGCAATTTTCATTTAAAAATGTTATTTAAAAAAATCCAGTGAGATCCCCCTGCTTCAATCTTCCCCGTTCTTCGCCGCTGGCGCGGCGCTTCCGCCTCGACACTTCGCCGCCCAGGAATATCCGTTCCGCACACCTTCGCTTGTATGATTTCCCACACGGAAAGAATGTCTCGATTCATGGTATGAGTCCAAACTTTTGTCCGTATGGGTGACTACTATTCCTATGATACGGTAGACCACGGACAAATCACAGAGATCCAAGAGCTAGCTGTTCACCTCACCTCATCATCACCAAGATACTCCCTCCATCTCAAAAACAGAACTCGTTCTCGCTTCTTGAAAAGTCAGTATTTTTTAATTTTGACCACTTGTGTAAAAGAATATTAATATTTATAATACATGATTAATATCATTAGATAGATCATTGAATATACGTTCATAATAAACTTATTTAAAGATATAAACTTATTTAAATATATAAATATTACATGTATTTTCTATAAAGCTAGTTAAAGAAGATGAAAAGTTTGACCTACACGCGTCCTATAACAACCTCTATTTTGAAACAGACGGAGTATGCTGGATCATAGACAATCCCTAACATCTGGTCCAGTCACACATGCACCCTGTTCGCTTGATCGTTTCTGTGGCTTAAATACGTTGTATCATAGCTGATACGATTATGCGAACAGGGTGATAAACTGCAGATAATAATCGGACATAAAAGGTAAACCTTCTCATCTACACGACTACACCACCAAGAAACAGCAGATTACATACAGGCCCTTGAGATTCAGACCGATTCCTCAAATAAAAAATACCAGAAATTAACCAGCATCTCCCTCGACCAAAACCCATCTGAAAATGGAACATATTTCAGAAAGTCTTAACGCTCCAACATCAGACATCACACCAGCAAATACAGGCCCCTGAGATTCAGATCGATTCCTCAAATAAAAAAAAAACAGAAATTAACCAGCATCTCCCTCGACCAAAACCCATCTGAAAATGGAACATATTTCAAAAAGTCTTAACGCCCCAACATCAGACATCACACCAGCAAATACAGGCCCTTGAGATTCAGACCGATTCCTCAAATAAAAAAAACCCAGAAATTAACCAGCATCTCCCTCGTCCAAAAACAATCTGAAAATTGAACTCAAAAAGTCTTCACGCTCCAACATCAGACATCACACCTGCAAAAAAAGAGAGATCTTGGACAAAAGCACACTGACATGGGCACAGCACCACACGCTAACCTGATATCAACGCAACAGATACATTTGGCCGACAAGCACACAACACGGAATACGATTCAAGATTCAAGATTCAAGATTTTTAAAACCAAAATTGTTTGCCATCATCTCAGATGCAGAACGAGAAAAGCAACGGTGTTAATCCTCTGGTTGAGCCATTTGACTTAACCTTCTTCGCACCCATCAGTCTACCGATTAACCCAACTCTCTGCAAAGTCGACTGCATCTCCTCCCAGGCACTGCTGCTCCTGGAGGAGATGCGGGAAAAAGAAACGGCAACTCACGAAACTATACCCCTTTCGGTTCTAGCACCTATCCCCCTCTTATTCTCACCCCCTGAGCTCTCTTCACTGCTGAGTCAGCCATCCCCTTTGGATGGCTTGTATAACTTAGATCCACATCTGGAGATTCTGGACAGGTATGCTTAGAAGGACAGGCGGGATGAGACCATCGCCTGGACCTTCTCCCACTCGAACGGGAGGTCCATGTCAGGAGCTAGCACGAAACCAACAGCAACAGCGAGCCCGATGACCACCAGGCTGCTCTTCAGGCAGGTGGCACCACGAGTCAGCTTTCCAAGGATCACCTTGCAATGCTTGTCTGCTTCTTTGATAGATGCCTGCTTTCCAGCATCTGTTGCTGACTCCAGCGCTGCCTCATTCTGCCATAGCAACAAATGTACAAATTAATAAAAGTTTAAAACACATGAATGTCTAGGGATATGATGTGTTTAATAATATTGACTTCCTTGATCAAACTAGTATGCTTTGGCTGTGCATTCACAGTAGGAAATACCTAAAGTAATATAAATGTGTTGCTCATTTTGACATCATACCCTCTAAGGCACTTCACAATGTGAGTTAACATTTTAAAAATCTATTCCTTTAAGTCTATTCAGAGAAGCAAAAAATTGAACACAAAATAAAATATGGATGACATGAACATCTGAAATGATTGAAGTCAAACAAAGCAGTTTATGAAACAATCACTTAGCTTACCTTAGCCTTGAAGTTCTTCACTGTTGCCTTGAGAGCTTCAGAACTGAGCTTAGGAGACACATCCTTCCAATCAATCACAATTTTTCTCAGGACAGCAACACTGGCTTCGATATTCTCAGGATAAATTCTTTCCTGAAAATTGAAAAAACAAGCCACTTCAGGCACAACTTTCTTGCTCACAGCTACAGTACAAGGTCAAATGGACAAAAGACTACTCACCCACTGCTTGTAGGACTCTGCATTTTGAGTCAAGCACCAAATGAATACATCAGTAGCCTCCCTGGTGAGCTCTGCATTGTCTGAATATGATATACCAGAACAAGATGATTAGATGTGTATCAAAACAAAGGCAAGAAGGAAATATATGTTGTACATTAAGCTACTAAAACATTGTATGTCAACTCACTTTCTTGCATTGCTTTTGCACACAAAGGTAAAAGCTGTTGTGATGCTTGTTTCACAGTTTTAGAGCCAGGAGGACCAGCAAGAGCCAACTCCTTGATTGTTGGGTAGGCTGCTTCAAACCTTTCTGTAGCCTACAGAATTGTGTTAGGTCATCAGAGCATGACTCATGAATGTTTACTAACAGGAGCTTAGGAATGAAAAATGAACCTTCAACCGAGCATTAGAAACAGGAAATGTGGCTCTCATGAACAAGTCAAATGAAACAGGGGGAACTAGGCGTTCCCCCCTTCTAACAGCACCATTCAATAAGATAGAACGAGCTTTGGTGACAGACAAAATTCTACACACAAACAACAAGAGGTGTCAGAACTACAAATATTTTCAAAGTGTCAAAATAAAATCAGAATGGTGCTCTATAATAGAGAACACAGCAACACCATGATGTTTTACTAATTAGAGCTTTATACTAAGTAATACCTTTCAAGCAACTGCAAAACCAAATCTCTTGCCAGGGGATTCCCACTTGACTTCGCACATAATGTGGGAAATAGAGAATGAGCCCAGCAAAACATGCCAGTCACTAGGTCACCTTGAGATGCCTGCAGTGCATCAGAAAAGAATTGGTACAACAAAATTATAATTATAAAATGGTAAAGAATTGGAAAGCATAAGTAACTAGCACAAAGGTGCCAGGTAAAAGAGTACCTGAGCAATAACCCAGACGATGATGGGAAGCTTTTCCTGTCCAAGATATTTATTGTTTCCCATTATCTTTGGCATAACATTTACCAGAATATCAGGCTTTCTTCTTAAAGCCATGGCAAGAACAACAAAGATTGCAACCTGTCATCATCAACAATCAACAATCAGTCAAAAAATACCAGCCAAAAAGAAAGATGGAGCCATTCATCATTACAAATGGAAGGCCAACAATTCAGTGTGAGTATCGGTCAAGATCAACAACTTAAGATTTATCATACAGATAGACCTATATGATCCATAGTCTGGGAGGATCTTAATGCAAATATTTGATTCTACTCATAAACACCTTACATAAAGGGAAAAAAGGGCACATACTGCAGACTGGAGAATCACAATTCACATTAACAATTCAGTATCAGAAGAGTCGTGAATGCAAAACATTCAGGATCAGATGATGAACAAAAAACCACATTTAGAATAAAAGAAAAATAATCAGTCCTCTAATTATATAATTATGGTAACATCCAAATGGTTGTCATATGAAAGGAGATCTAGAGAAGAACTACAGCAGGCTATTTGAATTTTACACAATCTGGAACTTGATGTACATGGCACCACAGAGCACATACTCCTACCTATAAATGTGGGATGTCAGCATATATTGCTCAAATAATATAACATTCGCACGACCTACCTATTTGTTCTTCACAAGATGGTCTATAAACATACTAACACAGCACAATACACTACTCACAGACACCAGTAACAGGGATCCAGCTCAACACATATGATTAAACATATGGCATGGCATTGGCATGTCCAGTTTATCCGCTATCTCAGCTCAAGTTGCAGATGAATAAAGTTAATTAAACCAAATGTACATTTTCATCCGTTCACCTAGATGTTCAGAATATATAGTCATTTCATATCCAACAAAAGGAATAAGATTCCAACTAGAATGTTATTTGTGTTTAGAAACACGTGTACATTATACATCCTAGGATGATAGTTAAAAGCCAGCATGACATGGATGTTACCTGGGCCCTTGGAGACAGTTGGGCAACCTTCTTTGAACCCTTAGGTCCTGCTGATGGGCCTGACAATTCAGACATGATGCTGTCTATACACCACAAAACAAAGTCTCCCAGGGCATCAGAAGATCTTTGACTGATCCAATCACTCGCAGTCTTGATGACAGCCTCAGGAATATGGCACAATGGGATCTGCTCAACACAGTAACTAGTTAGACACATAACAAAAATGACCAAGAAAGATAAATCAGAGGCATTACCATCGTTAAATCTCATAGTGTAATGTAAAATACAATCACACTCACGAAGCCAGATTGCCAGAACAACAGTGCCAACTACCATCAGTATACGGAAACATTAATTACAGGCATAGATAAGATTTTAGCATTGTAGAATTACATAATAACAAATCAATGTGACCCATGAAGGAATATAACTTCATCCTGATATGGAGAATGTTGCTGAACAATATATCGTAATTAAATGGCTTGATCCAGCTGTATACTGCAACCAATTGACTACGTTGGTGTAATCAAGCCGATATTCTTGGCATGCACGTTACAATCATCACATTGATGGCCAATCAGGACTCAAGCAATCGGATAGCCTACCTGCCACCATGCAGGGAACATGCTTGTTACTGTAATAATAGGGTGGCCTCAATCACTTTCCTCGGTTGGTTATCTCAGTTCGTTAAGATACGACAAAAGTGTCATAACGGTTCCCAAACCAGAGACATTAATGCATGGATTTTCCAAATTTTGGTGCGAAACATATTCCAAATACATCACTACGTGCGGCTACAGCACAGTAACGTAACATTAAAACATAAACCTCCTATAGACAGCAATTGCATCTAAGCACAATCTGGAAAAAAAATGATCACATGCGTAAAAGACCAGAGACGTTAATGCATGGATTTTCCAAATTTTGGCGCGAAACATAAATGCCAAATACATCACTACGTGCGGCTACAGCGCAGTAGCGTAACATTAAAACATAAACCTCCTACAGAAGCACAATCTGGAAAAAATTATGATGACATGCATAAAAGACCAGAGACGTTAATGCATAGAGTTTCCAAATTTTGGCGCGAAACATAAATGCCAAATACATCACTACGTGCGGCTACAGCGCAGTAATGTAACATTAAAACATAAACCTCCTACAGACAGGAATTGCATCTAAGCACAATCTGAAAAAAAAAAGATCACATGCATAAATAGATTCCAGTATAATATCTAAGGAAACGATAACTCACATCAACCATCTTGGACACTGTTGATTCCTTGAACATCTTTGCCCATGGAAATTGGGATGCGCTTACAGCTACAAATGCCCGGCCAAAGTAATCAGCAAACCTCATGAGTTGAATGTCCTGTTGATTCTCGTACGATGCCTGCACACAGAACAAATAATCAGAATATGCATATACACAACAGAAAGTGTACCAACCTTTTGAAGTATCTACTCCTAGTACCAAAACCCAAGGCTCCCCGAGATCCATCTTTACATCCTAATATCCGACTGAGGTAAGACAACCGTACTATATGAGATAAAATTTTGATTCAACTTGATCCGAAACCCTGTAGGACCTAGCATTTCGTCGGAATTTCATCAAGTCCAGCAAGATCCATCGATAAACCCTACCCAGATCCGATCCCTAAGAAACGGACAAAACCTTGATCCAGACCATCCACCCAAGATCTGATTTTTAGACAGGAATTCGACGGCAAGGGAGATTCGACGCGGTGTTACCGAGATCTCGACGAGGTGCGCTGCGAGGTTCTCGGCGTCGATCAGGGCGGCGGCCTCGGCGACAGTCACCTTAGGCTTCTTCACCTTGGGCTTCTTAGGCTTCTTCACCTCCCCCTCCTGGCGAGGGGCGGCGGCCTCGTCTGAGTCCTCGTCGTCGGAGTAGGCGCCGCCCATGGCCGCGGCGATCCGCGCGTCGTCGAGGTCGGCCGCCCTGGAGGCGAGCTGCTGCTGCAGCGCGAGGTGGCGCTCCTGGGAGCGCTTCTCGACGGCGTCGAAGACGCCGGCGGCCTTGCCGTTGGCCTGCAGTTCCAGATCGGGCGCCGTGGCGCGGGGCGCCTGCTTGCGGTTGCGCTTGGGGTAGGAAACCGTCTGCCAGCCGTGCGAGGGGTCGGAGGCGGCCGCCGCCATCGAGGAGGAGCCCGCGACGTCGTCCATCGCCATAGCTGGCACGCGCGCGCGCGGAGGGAAGGCGAGGGCGCAGGGGGGAGGTGTGCTCGCCTGATCTCCGAGAGGCGACGAGACGAGCAGGAAGGAAGGCTGCTGTGACAGAGACGAGCGAGAACGAGGACGCGCAGGCGTCGCTGGATTTTATTGTGCCCGACGAGCCGAGGGTGCCGCGTGCGTCGCGTGCACTGCACCACCCGCCCCCGGCCCCCGTCTCTCCCCCGCTCCTCGCCGCTCTGGACTCTCTCTGGTCACCACTCTCACCTCCGTTTTTCCGTTTCTTCGCTTTCTCAGCGTAATCTTGTGAAACTTCTTGCGTATTTTTCTTTCTACCTCTTTCTTTTCTGGTGCAGCTTTTCAGTTCTGTTTGTTTGGAAACCACTTTGGTGACGCTGACATGAGCTGGCCCTGGATATACTCCTAGATGTGGTAATTGTGTGATTGTGTCAAAAAGCTGCCTGCTCAGTGTCATATGAAGCTCATGAGTGAATCATGACGCTGGTGTCCTTGACAAACCATTCTTTTTTGGGATAAAAACGTGACGATATGTAGGTAGGAGTGCTAGCTCCACAGTGCATTGTAAATAGTAGGTGTTTCAGTGTTTGCAGCTTTCAAATCGCTTACTTATCGGCCGACTTATCAGCTAGAATCTACAGTATTTTTCTCTCACAACAAATCAACCAATGTCGACTTATCAGTCGGCTTTAATACCAGCTAAACAGATCCGAAGGTGGTTGGTGGTGAGATGAGATAATGCTGTGATCTGTGGCTGCGGGTGGGGCCACGCCACTCTGGCATTCTTTCAATCTCTAGCAGTCCTCGAGCTTGTTCGGCTGGCATAGATCGGCTGACTGATTCGTTTTTTTTTTTTTTGCCTGAAGCAGTGTTTTTCTCTAAAAAAAAACAACATAAACAGTGAAAAACAGCAGAAACAGTACTTTTTTTTTTTAGTGCAGCCGAACACGCTCCTCTCCTCTCTACGAAACTAGCAGGAACCCCGCGCGTTGCCGCGGGCACAACAGAGGAAGCTCAAAGCACATGCAAGTTGTATGGCAGAATTGTAAATTAGGTCGCTCTTCAAACGGGCGACGACAATTTGATTCAAATATGGTAGTGTCCAATCAACAGATATATAGAAGCAAGATTGATCACTGGGACCCGAGACCAATACGTTGGAAACATAAAAGTTGTTTGTGGAACACGACACTTCTAGAGACAGAGTAACTTGAAACCACTCATATATATGTGTACAGCAGGCTATGAAACTGAGCATAGCAACCTAAGTTTTTTATTTATACACAACGATGAAATAACTTGGTTTGGGAAAAAAACATTAAACTATCAGATTGATTAAGGAACGCCATGGTATTAACCCCCAAGGTTTCTGCACGTCATCCAGTCGATATTCAGCAAGGTACCTAAGATCATGCAGGATTTGCATCTGTATAAGAAAAAGACGGTAAGACCTTTGTGTTGTAGCATGTAGCCAATTCCCATACATAACAGAGGTCAGATGAGGAACTTTCTTGTTGCATTGGTAGTTACATATATGATCGACATGTATCGAGCCTGTTTAAGTATAAAGCAGAAAAGCAAGAGCTATTCCAGGCTAAAAATACTATTTATCATATCAAACATGCAAGAGCAATTCGAAAACGCACACATACTACAGTATGGAGTTAAAAGTAGAGTTAACTTGAGATCACATTACTTTAGGCCTATGCTAATTCTTATTTTCATTCCACAGAAGACATCAAGGTTCATTAAACTTGGATTTGCAATTAGCAGTGATGAAGTAATTGATACTGCACAGTTAAGCTGACCAGCACGTGAACAGGGCAGTAGCCTTGAGTTCATCCCACTGGCCCAAGGGGCAGTAAATGTTGCATCGAACAGCACTAATCTTGTGGCAGTCAGTTTTTGCAGCGAATCCACGTGCTGAAACAATTTAAACATAGAATTAGACAATTTCATTCCCTTCCAAAGTTGGACCAAAGAAAGCATAGTCAATTGTAATGTAAGTGAGCGCTATTCATCACTCTCTTTCTTATTTCGAAATAGCACACATCACTGGTTAATGTGGAAATGATGTTTAGCAATATAGGTCTGGCCACAGGAGGAAAAGAACATCATGTAAAAAGGGCGTACCCAGTGCAGAGAGCTCCCGCTCTGTGCGGGGGCTGGGGAAGGGTGTCAGTGGCAAGCCTTACCCTCGCCTGTGCAATGCGAGGAGACCGCGACTCGAACTCAGGACCTTCCGCTCACAGGCGGTAAGACTCTACCGCTTGCACCAGGCCCGCCCTTCAAAAGAACATCATGTACATGTTGTAAAATAATAGGCATTAGGAGTTTAGCAATATAGGTCTAGGCACAGGAGGAAAAGAACATCATGTACATGTTGTAAAATAATAGACATTAGGTAAACAAAATTAAGCCAATGGTTTCGCAGATGTAGTACCTAAAGCTGCATTGTATCAGGGAATGCATGTCCCTTAAACCCCTTCGGATGCTATCACTTGGAGTAGGTAAGTGATATGAGTTCAAAAAGAACGGATCAATTGGACAGCCGGCTACGTCTTTAGAAAATAACCCAAGAGCCAAGAGGTGAACCCTGTTGAAGCTGTTAGTTGGGATTTAATAAAATGTCCTTTATTTCTGAACCATTCAGCAATAAACGGAACACCAAGATATCCTTAGCAGCTTGTCATGAATACACATGACCATAGTATTCAGCATATCAAGGCCACATGCTGCAAAATAAGAAAAATGAAACCACAGAAGAACTCTGAGTCAATATTTAGTTGTACTAAGAATGTGATCATAAAAACAAAATGAAGTGCTACTAGATGTCGTTTCTTTGCCGGAATCATATAAGGGCACACAGATAGGGGCGAACAAAGGATTTAGAGGTACAAAGCAGGGCTGAAAGCAGAAAATACATAAGGCCGCACGAGTTGTTGCATGGACACACAGCTTAGCAAGTGATTAAAGGGCTATGATTAATATTTTGGGGAGGTTAAGGAATGGTTATCATGAACACATACCTGCATTAGAGAGTCCAGTAACCTGAGCTTCAGCATATATTGGATAAATTCCTCTTTGTTTCGTTGGACATAAAGGTGCAACCTATCTTTTAGTGCCTCTGCGAGTTTGTCCTCCCTTTCTTTCTGTACAATTCGCATCATAGTTAAATCCTTAAATCAATACTACACCAGAAAGTAGAAATAGCATGGAACAGCAAGCATCAAATTTATAAATTGAATATCTCAAACACCAGAAAGGCTTTTTTTCTGTCTGAATATTTAAAGCACTCGTAAAGAACAGAAATTTGGGTAGCAATTCCATACAGCTATAATAAAATCACATGAAATGCAATTAATCTGGGTCAACAATGATGGTTGATGAATCTGTCACTCGCATCTGATATAATAAAGGCTAAATGGGATCGCAGCAACAGATGAGCCAAAACAAATGCAACACGAATCAGAGGGATGAAAAGAGAGAAGGGGCTCGCATGGTCGCTTCCGCTTCTGAGGCGTACGCGATGCAACAGGTGGCGGAGCGCAGGGGCGACGCGGCTGCGGTGGTGGCCGCGGCGCGCAGGACGGAGGCGCGCGAGGTGGCGGCCGTGGGCCGGCGAGCGCCGCGACGGCAGGGCAACAGGTGGCGGAGCGCAGAGGCGGGGCGCCTGTATCCGGGCTGGTCCGTGGCGGTGCCACCGCAAGCAGGGTCGCACGCCGGGGGTGGCCGTTTCGTTGCACCGCGACGGGGCCGGGCGTGCTGGTTGCAGCCGCTGCGGGATAGCACAGCAAGCGGCGGACCTCCCTTAGGCGCGGGGCAGCGCGGGAGCCGGGCGTCCATGGCGGAGCGGCGACGGCCGTACGTGGCGCAGATGCAGAACACGTAGTTGATGGGGAGGGATGGCGCGGCGGCGCGATGGGGACGTGTAGAGCGGCGGCGGCGCGCCGGCAGGGGCGGAGAGGGAGCGTGGGAAAAGGAGGCTGCAGAGAGAGGTGGACGCGACGAGGATTTTCTGGTGCCTTCGGTGGGAGACGGGGATAGGATAACTGGATAAGGTTTGAGGGGAGGAAGCAGGAGGTGGTGTGTCGGTCATCCGGCGTGTGCAGGTTTGATCGGACGGTGCTGGTTGGACGACTGTTCTGGGAACAGTATAGCTACAGTGTTATGTGAGAGGGGGATTGGTATACTGGTTTAAGAGTACACTAGGATAGATTGGACAAATAAAATTGGCATATATCGAAAATTAGAATTATCTCGTCTCCACTCAAATAAAGAGCTACCAACTGCTAGTTCTTCATTCACTCATTTCTCTCTTGTCTGCAGCCTCTATAAGCAGCCTGTTCGTTTCGGCTGAAACGGTCGTGAATTATAAGCTAAAAGTACTACTAGCTGATTTGATGTGAGAGAAAAATATTATTATAGCTTATAATCCACAATCATATAAGCCGAAATGAACAGACTGAAGATCATCACATGACCCATCACCCATGGCTGCCACCCTAAGCACAGTGTTCTTGCTTGTTGTCACACCAGTCGCGGGCGTGGCAACCACTATCATGGTCTTTGTGCATGGGTGGGACAGAGAATGTAGATTCCGTACCTGGAGGAGGGAGGCGGAGCGCATGGCTGTCCCTCAAGTAGTTTTGCCTTAGGGCATGTTTGGTTGGAAGCCTGAATAACTTGCCTGATAAAAAATATCGTCTGGAAGTTGTTTGAGATTTTAAAAAAATATGCCTCGCTAGGCAAGTTGAGAGATAGTCCGTTTGGTTGAAAGCATGTGCCTGAGAAGTTTAATAAAAAGAGAAAATATGTTTTCTTTTGTTTATAACCTTACTTAATATCATTTGAGTAATAGACACAATTAAATAAAGGCAAAAATAAATCATTGCTTTTATAAATAAATAATATAAAAACAAAAAAAATATTATTTTACTTGACAACTATTTACACATATAATTAAGGGACGGATATTATAA